ATTTTTTTTCATAATTTTATGTCCAAAAAATCCAACCTGAGTACTTTTGTGATGAAGTTTGATGATGCAAAGGACTCACAACGTAATACTCAAATTTCAAATGATTTTGATTGTTTAAAGAAAGCGCATGTTCTTGAAACATTTCTTCCAATAGAATGTAAAGCAACAAAATTTTATACTAAAAAGATCTTTGCCATTGTTCAAAGTGAATTATATGATTCTGTCTACTGATGCTCACCCAATCCAATTTCTATTGTTGAAGGGCATGATGTTTGTATAGTTTTAGAGCAATCATTGGGTGAATATGGTGAAAATCAAAGTATGTTCTTCAAATAGTTTTCAAAAGTTGACCACAATCGAAAAGTAAATGAATTTGAATTTAGGTCTGAAATTATTATTTTTTAATTATAAATTTTCTTTAACATCTCAAATATATTATAAATAAGTATATACATTTTTGATGTTATTAAACATATATGCATATATGCATTTATGTGCATATATAAACATTAACGTGTATTTTTTTTTCATTTCTTTGAATAATTTTTAAATTTGATACACATGTGAATGTAAATGAAGAAACTTTCAAATATAGTTGTATGGTATTTGAGCATTATGGTTTTTTACGTAGGCATGTTTTTTGCATAATGAAGAAGATGTTTTTGAAACATATATCATCTAAGTATTTGTTAAGAAGATGAGAGAAAGATATAACTAATCCAGAAGAGTTGAAAAAAAATTATTCAGTAGACGGTAGTAGTAAGGACTGTCAAATGCTGGTATTTGATAGGGTGAGCATGATGCGGTTTTAAGGCCAAACCAAACCGCAATCTGTATGGTGCGGTTTTTTCATTCTTAAAACTGTTGGGTGCAGTTTTGCAACAGTTCGGTTTTACGGTTTTTAAATGCGGTTTCGGTTTGTATCGATGCAGTTTCGGTTTTAAACCGTGTCTAGACTTTGGTGCAGTTTTTTATGTTTATTGGTGCGGTTCTCTAAAAACATAAGAACTGAAAACCATGTGCATGTAAGCTTGTATTGTGATTTTTTTTTTCATTTTTGAAACCATTCATTTCTAGCTTAAAACAAAAATACATAATCAAAAATTATAAGTAGCTTAAAATACAACATGTGACTACTCTCACAAACTAATTAATAATCGAAGGTTGGTTGACTATAACTTAATTTGTTACAAGCTTATTACACATGTCGATTAGTACGTTTGGCTAACAATAGGAATTTTTTTTGCACCCCATATAGTTTTACACAAACACAAAGTAAACATATAATAAATATATTATCGTTTATAAGTATTTTAAATCATAATATATATTAATTGATTTATTACTATACACGCTTGCGGTGCGGTTCGGTTTTGGTGGACCAGTTTTTTGGATAAAAACCGCACCACACCGTTGACCTTCGGTTTTACAAAAATTAAATACACACCATTGGTTTTTGCATAGGTTGCGGTTTTTCGGTTGCGATTTATTGCGGTTTTGTCGGGTTTTCTTTTGTCGGTTTGGTTTTTGCTCACCCCTAGTATCTGATTTATATTTTGTGGTTGCTGAGTGTATAACTTTAGTTTCACATGATCCTGAAAGGTTGTTGGAGTATTTTGAATGTAAAAAACATAAGATAAATCTAATTATACAAAATCCACCACAAAAAGATTCTCGCTCAAAAAGTAAACACTTTGATTCTTTAATTGGTGTTTCTAAGCCTAATGTTAATGACATTTGAAATCCTGTAAATGTTTCAAACAAAGGATCTGGTTCTAATAAAAGGTTTAAAATTCAAAAAGATATAGCTATCACTGCTGCAACAAAGGATCCAAGAGGATATACTTTTTGTAAGAAGAAGATAACACCTAATGAAAAGCGTGACCAAAGAAACTAACCTCTTAGAAAAGAGTTGGAAAGAAAAACAAAACAATTGGAAAAGGAAGAACAACTTATTCAATACAAAATTTTAATATGTTAAGTAATACTTTTAGAAGTTTTGTTGGTGTTTTTGTAGACAGTTTGGTATTGGTTTGTAAAAAGTTTGGTGAATGTCCTTTTTTGATATTTTCTACTCTTTGATATTTTGTTTTATGTTAATTTGGTTATGTAAACATTTTGCATGTTAATTTGGTTTTATATTACCATTACATTCTTTGAAAGTCACATTCCAATCATTACCGATTCTAGTCATTTAGTAATTCCATGCATTTCATTAATCAAATAAGGGATAATGACTTAAAAGGGTAATTACTTAAGACAAATGCTAAAATATATATATAAAATAAGCTATCATTAGGGTAGCTTAATGGCGGTGTTTGGTTATGATGAAGGTGGCCGACGGTGGTGATGTATAAGGGTTAAGGTTGTGGGTTGTGGCTCCTGAAGATGATGAAGGCCGACCCTTTTATTTCCAAAAAATCCCCAAAAAGAGTTCAAAATCAACAAAACTCGCCGGAGAAGATGACCAGAACCTCGCCAGAGTTGTCAAATATGCCGAAAACCAGCTAAACCTATGATTATGATTGCATGTCATAAGGATGTTTTTTGAATAGTTCAATGGGAAAATATGGACAAAAATACTCAATGTGTACAAATCAAAAAACATGTTACCCTTTTAAGTCATTATTCCATCAAATAATTATACCAAAACATTGCATTACATAAAATGTTCACATTAACAGTATAATTACATAAAAGGATTACATTATTTCCTTTTTAAATTGGTTAATGTTCTAAAGGTATACGAGATGATTTTTGTAAATGGTAACCATAACAAAAGTATATTGTCAAATGATTTCAGAAGGGTGGACAAAGTCAGCAGTTGAACTTGACTGCGAATAGAGGTTTTAGAATTGAAAAGATAATAATGATACTAACTTCAGATACATAAAAATGATGATCCGTAACAATATTGATAATTGCTGATTTTCATCAATAAGCATTAATCAATAATACATTTCGCAGTCTAGAGTACTACAGATAGATTTATAAATGGTAACCATAACAACATTACATTTTGAAATTATTGCAGAAGTGTTTACAAAATCAACAGTTGAGTCAACTGCGGATTAAAGGCTTAGATTTGAAAAGATTAAATAAGGACACAAACTGCGGATCAATAGAATTGATGATCCATAGTAATATTGACAATTGTTGATTGATCTTGAGCAATAAGCAGATTCTATTTAAGAAAAAAAAACATATAGCTTCATCATTCCGATCATTTTTATAAACTTATTAAAGTTATTTTCCTCTAAATCTTTAAGATAATTTTCATTTTGAGTTTATTAATAATATTCGTGTGTGCATAAGAAAATTATATATTACAATATGCAAAAAAATATGCAGATGTGCATAAAGATATATACACATATTTACATAAATAAATTTGCATTGTATAATTTGTTTATTTATTTGCATATGTTCATATATGGAATTTAATTTAAAATATAAGTCAGTATTACCATATCAACAATACATTGCGAAATGATTGCAATAGGTTGGACAAAATGAGAAGTTAAACTTGAGTGCGGATAGAAATTTTAGACAGGATAAGATAAAGTTCAAAGACTTTTGATAGATAGAAATGATGATCCGTAGTGATCAATACTACATTGCTTTTGTCTAGAGTATTGTGAATAATTAAATGATAATTAACAGTTTTTCAGACTGTGCAAGTAGATTATAGTTAAGAAAAGCAACATATTGCTTCATCATTCCCCTTCATCATTTTTAGAAATTTATTAAAGTCATTTTCCTTAAGTATGCACAAAATATATAAATGTGCACAAATGTATATGCACATATTTACATAAATAATTTTGCATTGTATAATATGATTATTTATGTGCATATGGTCATATATGGAATTTAATTAAAAATATAAGTCAATATCACCATATCAGCAGTACATTGTGAAATGATTGCAATAGGTTGGACAAAATGAGTAGTTGATCGTGACTACAGATAGAAGTTTTAGCCTGGGAAATATAAAGTACACAGACTTCGGATAAACAAAAATTATGATCCATAGTGATATTTACAACTGCTGATTGAAGTTGATCAGTAAGTAGTGATCAATACTACCTTACTCTTTCTAGAGTACTACGGATAATTAAACGATAATCATCAGTTATTCCAATTAATCTCAAGGAATTAATTAATATTCTAGCCTTTTAATTAATTAAAACTATTTAATTAATTACCAAAATAATTTCCAATTAATTTATTAATTAATCATAAAATAACAACTTATTTTTGTCCTTTTCCTTATTGCTAATTGTGTCCTGAGGCCAACTCAAATAAACACTGTTATTATTTAGAAATATTATGAATATTTAATAACTTTGGAAATTATATCCAATACTTTCTTCAATAACAACTCCAAAAATTCACACAAAGGCTCAACAACACTGTCACAATGCTAGGGTTTGCATATGGGTGAATGAGACTGAGAATAAAGCAAACCATAAGCATCACATTCTTAAATAATGTTCAAGACCCGAGACCTAGGACTTTGGTTGGTGACAGCTCTGCGTCACGACCAACAAAAGGTCACGTCACTATTTAATGACGTGGCACGCGCCGCTACCATTCAGTAGCCGCGCCACGTGACTCTCCCAAAACCCAATCCAAACTTATCTTAAAAAAAAATAAGAGATAGACCACATACCATGAACAAGGGTTTACACGCCTCATAGTGAAAGATGACATGCTATCATAGAATATGTTTAGTTCGCGTACCATAAACTTATTTTTTGCTAAGTTTAAACACTTAAATAATACCAAATAATACCAATCATACACGCACATAATCCATAAACTATAGAGATGTTTAAGCTCATGTATATGTAGTTTTCAAAATTAATGTGTAAATACTAACAATAAAGGAAAATATTAGAGTGCACGTTTAAAATGGAAAGCAACACGAATCTTTCAACATAGCAAGCTAAAGTCATCAACGCAATCAATCCGCTTCAAGCATGTATTTAGATCGCATGTACATCATTCATTATCTAATCATTAAGGAAAAAGTAATTATTGTATACATTAATATACAATTTAAAAATCAAAGCCTTGTTAAAATGGGTACGTTAAGTACCAAATAATGGTTTAGAATACGTATGTTAGACGATTTTGTTATAAAAATCTTAAACTAGATTTGCAGCAGACATAAAATTAAGATATTATTTAAATCAATATCTAATAAGTTTTATGAGTTAAAATGGAATGAAATCTGAAAATGAAGGATGAAAAAAGGGGAGAATAAAAAAGAAGTGGAAGAATCAAGTAATTGAGTGGAGAAAGCAAAGGTACCGTACACGCATCCGAAGAAGGCGCGTGGACAAAACCCCCTTTTCGATTCTTTACTTGGTCTCCTCCTCTTCTTTTGTATTTTTATGAAATGATGGTCAAATGTTCTCCTATAATATAATTAATCATGTATTAAATTTGGATACTTATTATTTTAAATATGAAATATGCAAAATTAATATTCTTTGAAAACAAAATAAGTATTAGATCTATATAAAAAATTATTTACTTTAAAATATAAATTGTATTATTTATGATCTTTACATTTAAATATTCCCATAACATGTCAAATTTTACTTACCTTTATGTTTAAGTTTCAAAATTCAATTCTTATATGTGTAATTATTTTTTTTACTCTATGCTTTATCGTCTATTTCGATATGTTTTTTTTTTTACTTTATTTTGTTGTAGTTTGTATATATGTTTGTTACACTCTACAATTAGCTAGGATGAGAGAAACCTTCTCAATGAAATCCCTAATTTTCCAATTTCTGACCTAAAAAATTAACGAGTGACACATCTCGTTTATCTTGTTTTACAGTATATGATATACATTACTAATATTACAATTATATTGAAATCACACATACATATATATTTAATATTTTTATTTTATATAAAAATAATCAAATTATATTTATTTATTTAGGATCCGCATGAGATGTTTTAGCCCGAACATGTTTTTCAACCCCACTATTCTTTTGAAAACTAAATGAGGGTTAAACTCACCTTTGACTTAAACTTAATCCTAAAAGAATATTAAACTTAATTCACCTTTAACTTAAACTTTATCCTAAATGAGGGTTAAATTCACCATCTTGTTAGAAGATTTAAATTTTATTGTTGTAGATAATAAAAAAAATTCCTATACACTTTACATTAGATAATTATACAAAAAAAAAATTTACCCAAAAAGAATTACACATGTGAAATAACATAATGATAATTATGAATACTTTACATTAGATAATTATACTAAAAAAGATAACTCTATCCAAATAGAATTACACATGTGAAATATACTAAAAAAGATAAATCTACCCAAACAGAATTACACATGTGAAATAACAAAATACGATAATTATGAATTATAATTATGCATAATCCAAATAACAATTACTCAATATTAATAAGTTAACATGATATACGCACAAAGCCACAAACAATACCCACTCTCTCTTTCTCTCCCACACCACACGCGTATATAATCAGAGAAAGTTCTGATCGTGTCCCCTCTTCTCCTCTACAAATCTCTCGATCTCCATACCGGAACCCCCTTCTCTCTGTTATATCTAACCAACCTCCACGCACGTTTATCGATTTCCCTCAACACCATCTTCATCCAACTTCAACAAATTCAAGGTTTTCTTCAACTTGGTTCTTGCTTATTCACATTTCCCAGCTCAAATCAACTCCCAACTCCCCCTTTTTCTAATTTCATTTGTTTCTTGATATATGTACAAGTAAAAACTTTCCTTCTTTCTACTGTCGGTTTTGCAGGATGTGTTGGGCATCGGATTTCTTGTTCCAAGAACGTGGTTTTGTGTTCTGGGGAATTCTATTGTGATTGGTCAAATTAGAAATTAGGGTTTTGTTACAAAATTGAAGTAGAGATAGAGTTGATTTGGGTTTTGTTTGATCTTGAATGGGGAATAAGTTGGGTAGGAGGAGACAGCTAGTGGACGAGAAGTATACAAGACCTCAAGGGCTGTATCAACACAAGGATGTAGATCACAAGAAGCTTCGTAAGCTTATACTTGATTCCAAGCTCGCTCCTTGCTATCCCGGAGATGATGACTGCAGTTGCGATCTTGAAGAATGCCCGATTTGTTTCTTGGTCTGTGGCTCTGTGCTATTAAATTTTACAGGTGTATTTGTTTCAATTTCGTCTTTCTGATACGTTTATTTCCATTTCTGAACCATTGTGCAGTATTATCCAAGTCTAAATAGATCGCGATGTTGCACAAAAGGCATCTGTACAGGTAAATATCATCTGATTGTATCATTCAAGTTACGCTCTTTGAAAACAATACGATTATATCATTAACATTTTCGTTATTCAATCAGAATGTTTCCTACAGATGAAGACCCCAAATTCTACACGCCCTACGCAGTATCCTTATTTGGTGTTCAATTATCATTATTGTTTTCTTCTTATTGTTCCAAATTATATATTTCTTGTTTTCTATTCTTAACAATACCAAGATGCCCCTTTTGTAAAACGTTAAACTATGCTGTGGAGTATAGAGGGGTGAAGACTAAAGAGGAAAAAGGGCAGGAACAAATTGTAAGCACTAGGCTTAGTTAACCATCATTCTATTGGTTATCTTTTATTGCTCAATTTTATATTTTTTTGTATTTTTATATTGTCTTTTAGGAAGAACAAAGGGTGATAGAAGCAAAAATAAGAATGAGACAACAAGAAATTCAAGATGAAGAGGAAAGAATGCTAAAAAGACAAGAGAGAAGCTCTTCAAGCAGGATAATTGATTCAAATGAGGCTGAATATTTCTCTAGAGCAGGTTTGTAAACATAATGCTAGAAATATAATCATTTGTTTTTACACATAATCACAATATAATTGCACTTTTTTTTTACCAATAATAGCAATGTATTTACATTCCCTATATTGGTAGCAAAATGAAAGTATGTTGTTATTATGGGTTACATATTGCTAGTATTGTAAAAATGTAACTATCAAGGGTAAAAAATGTAAATATGTTTCTATTATGCAGCAACGTCTTCTTCAGAAGGTGAGGAAATTGTTTCTGCTCCAAATTCAGGTGTAACAACATTTAGACATCCTCAACGCCCTAGAGACAACAGGTATCCAATTATCTTTTATATATTTTCAAATATTACAACATTTTATAAATATTGTTTTTTTTAGGCTGAAAAACATTCTAAATGACACTATATGATATTTAAAAATATAACGCTAATGAAAAAAAAAATACATGACAAAAAATTATATAAATGCAGAGATGACGAGTTTGACCTTGACCCCGAGAACATAATGCTAATGGAAGCCATCTGGTTGTCATTTCAGGTACAATTATATAAATACGAAAATTATTCTTATATATTTTTATTTATTTATTAATGAGTAAATTACACGAATAGTCCCTATGGTTTGGGCTAATTTGCGCGCTTGGTCCCTAACTTATTTTTTTAACTCGGAAGGTCCCTACTATTTGTTTTTGTTACGCGCTTGGTCCCTGTCTTACCTAAAATGACTTATTTAAATTGGGAATAATGGTGGGGTAGGTAAAGTAAGGTGAGTGGGTGGGGGTGTGTTTATTTAAATAAATTAAAAAATCAAGGAAAAAATAGTCTTTTTAGGTAAGACAGGGACCAAACGCGTAACAAAAACAAACAGTAGGGACCTTCCGAGTTAAAAAAATAAGTTAGGGACCAAACACAAAAATTACCCTAAACCATAGGGACCATTCGTGTAATTTACTCATTATTAATTATAAAATATTTTATTATACATAGGAGGATGGAAAACACCAACGCCACAATCCGAATTATGGCGACGCAGCGCAATTAGCAAAATACGCAACGGAAGTTCGCGTTCTCGCGTCCATGGCCCCACAAGCTGAGTCATTATCATCTTCATCCTCATCCTCATCGCCTTCCGGTGGTCTAGCGTGCGCCATAGCTGCCCTCGCCGAACGCCAACAACTGGGTGGCGAATCTTCCACCAATTACAACAACTACAATGGAAACATATCATCAACATACAACATCATGCATCCCGTATCCACCTCACTCAATACCCATCTTCAAGATGCAGGATGGGGAGACAACAACAATAACAATAACAACAACAACAACAGTCATGAACAGATGGGTGAAAGTGAAACTTCATATGGGTATCATCATGATAATAATAATGAGTATGGGGGACAAGATGAGATGGAGGGTGGTGGTGGAGGTGGTGGAGGTATAGTTCCTGAGAGCTTTGAGGAGCAGATGATGTTGGCAATGGCGGTTTCATTGGCGGAAGCTCGAGCTAGGAGTAGTAGTGCACCGGAGGTTGCGTGGATTTAGTTTAATGTTTGTTGGTGGTGTATACAATGTGTAAAATTGGGGAAAAAAATTGAGTGTAGATTTGTGGTTAGAGGTTTGAGATTTGAATCATGGAAGTAGAACGATACAGACAGAAAGACATATAGGTCAATTTCCCCCCTCCCTTTGTATTGAAATTTGAGAGTTTGTATGATTGGTTGTTGTTGATGGGAGGATTTGGAATTGGGTTTGAAAAGTGAAGTTGATCATCATCTTTGGAATCTTAAAGAAATGTGCAATTTACCATTGAATTTTTAATCTTGTTGTTGGTTTATGAACCCCAAAAAAGTCTTTTGGATTGACGACGTCTTAAACCGAATATTCCTTTAAAAAAAAAACAAAAAACAAACCATCTCCTAAAGGACTAGAGTACCTCACAAAGCAAGATAGAAAACCTAGAAAAGTTATACAAATCCACCAAAAGTTGGATTGGGCATCCTAGTTTGTAGAGAAAAAAATGATAAATTTTTTTGATTTTTTGGACATTTTGTACTTGGGCTCGATAGATGTATGGTTCCATTTCTATTAGGTAGAAGAACATCTTTTAAGGTTATTATCTTTGTGTGAAGGATTTGTCTCGTCCTTTATTGTGCAATCTCTTCAAAAAAAAAAAAAAAGGCATTTTAAGTTTTATAATGTTGCACATGAATTGAAAGCCCACATCTTCTACTATTTTTCTTTTGCTTATGATGTTTGGGGAAAAGCAGCGGGTGCGCTGTTGCTGTTTTAGTGATTTTCAGTAGGTTTTTCAGATTTCATTGTCTCTTGCTTTCAACAAATCGAAACAAAAGATGTTTGTTGCGTTAATCTTTTTGGTGCTTTGGCTTATTTGGAACTCTTAGAAGAGGCTTATTTTTTTGGGGGTAAAAAACATCCTCAACACCTAAGATACTTGATGATATCCATATGTTGTCTTTTCTTTGGATAAAAAATAGATGTAAAATACCCATTCTAGGTGGTTTGATTCGCGTTGTAACCCTTAAGCTTTTTGACTAGCTTGTTCATATTTTTTCTTTAGCATATTGCTAGTTGCTAGGAGGATTTTTAATTTCTCTACTAAAAATTATCGTTTCAACTTTCAAAAAATACCCATAACCCATCGAATTAATAGTCAATTATAGATTAAGGACATAACTTTAGAAAAAAGTTTAAAATATTTAACAAATATTTAAATATCCTTAGAGGGCCCATAGTCATTTTCATCGACTCATACATTATTTTTTGCTTTGCTACATCAACTTTTCACTAATTCTATCAAACACAAACCTATTAACTTAAATTCTATCAGATCATTAATCATTTTGAAAAGTTTTTCTTTTATATAATTAACTAATATATCCTTATATTATAAAACCCCTTATCTAAATTTGTCATTTTTTACAAAAACGATATTTTTTTTTAAATTGAAATATTACAAGACAAAAATACCTTTTTTTTGGAAACGGGAGACAAAAATACTTAAAATGAAATATCATCAACAACGAACTCATTTACTTATACCAAAAGTTGACCAATCAGACATTGTTGGAAGTGAAAAATACAAGATGGTATAATATTTTTTCAAAATATTTATTAGAAGATGATTTTTTTGCCGAAATACAATGACCAAAAGTATTTATAAGACGATGAGTATTTACAGAAACACGATGTCACAAAAGGACATAACTAAAAATATAAAAGTTTTGTGTTTTTTTTTTCAAAAATATTAAAGTTGATAAATTCTTATATATATAGTAAAAAAATAGTATATTATATGTAACATCCGAATCTTGAGGTATATTTTATTTATTTAAGTTTGGCTGCCTGGAGTTGCCACGACGTGGTGGAGGCATTACCACGACGTGGCGAGACATTTTTGGACGCAGACTTTATTTAATCCGCCACGGCGAGGCAGCCTATGGTCCATAACGTGGCGTCGCCTGGTGACTTAAACCCTAATTTTCCGAGTTTGCACCCTATTTAAAGGAGTGAGAAGGCTAGGGTTTGTTCATCCTCAGCCTCCATCACCCTCCTAAGCTCTGAAGAAACCATAATCCATTTCCTCCATTGTTGAAGCTCATTTTGGTGCTTTTGAAAGATCTTAAAGGAAGAAGGAAGAAGAAGTTAGCCAAGATCTTTAGTTTTGTCCCATATTCTTCTTGTTCTTGTTAGTTGGGATCTTGAGATCCTATAAAGTTTGCAACTTTATGAATCTCTGGGACATTTGGAGTGGTTGATGGTTTGGATTTGAAGTTTGATTAGATTTTGAGCCATGCATGAGATTTTTGGTCATAATCCTTATTTTTTGACCTAATATGAGTTCAAGACATGCATTAAACATGCATGTCTATAAAGCACCAACTTTGGTTAACTCTTCTGGAGTTGATGGACTAAGAACTTTAGAGATTAAGTGCTTAATGGTTAAGTCCATGTCATGTTTTACCTTTTTAGACCTAGGGTTTGAGATCTTGATCTCTTGGGGGGGGGGAGGGTGTCTTAAGGGATAAAGTCGGAAACTTTATCCATCTAGACCATAGGAAGGACCATATCTAAGCTTTAGAGCTTTTGGTATCAAAGGAAACAACTTAACCCATTAAGTTGTTAGGAAGCTAGTGCCCACTGCGTGTCATTCTGATCGCCATGACATGACAACTTGGGGTGGATCGCCAATTTTGAAGTTTGTGGGCCACGATGTGGCAGTTGGCTGAAGTCAATTTTGACCGTAGACTTTTTAACTTGAGTTGACTTTTGGTCAAACTCCTAGTTTTGGAAGGTAGACTAAGGGTTTACCTTGTGGGACTATCTAGGTGGTGTATAGCATCTATATTTCGACAGTGAGAGCAGTAGCAATTGTTTATCTTCTGGAAGTTGAGTCTTCTCACTATACTTGTGGGTCGAAGGCACCAATCCCAACCCACTGGATTGTGTTATGTAGAATGGTAGTTGCCTTTGTGATACTTGAATGGAAGACCCTGAGGGTAGCCCATGAAATTTGTATGAGAGACCATGTGGTAGCCCATGATACTTGTGTGTAAGACCTTGGGGTAGCCAAGGCACTACAAGGGAAGACCATGGGGGCAGCCCATGGCAATGGTATGTAATACCATAGGGGTAGACCGTGACACTTGTATGCAAGACCATGGGGGTAGCCCATGATAATGTATGTACGATATGTAGTATTTTGGAGAACTCACTAATCTTCGTGCTTAAGATTTTGTGGTTTAACATTTTTAGGTACTTCCAGTTCGAAAGGGAAGGGACCGACGTGATCGCACATCATCTCCATGATTTATTTCCGCATTGACATTTGATTTTAGAATATTTTATACTATGGTTGATATGAGACAAATTGGTTGTATTCTTGGGTGTTTGAAAAATGAAAATTTTACTACTGTTTTTGGGACATTACATTATAAATAAGAATTTAATAATTAATGTCAACCATTAAAATCAAATATTATTTTATATTTATTAAAAAAATTAGCTAGTTAATAAATAACAAATATTTAAATTTTATGTAGGGAGTAAAATGAAATAATTTTAAGTTCGATTCTAAATACTGTACCTCTCCATCGACCCATTGTCAACCTATCATTGGAGATGCTTAGAAGCTACAATAAACAAGAAAAGTTTGTAGATTGAAATCAATAATGCGAATCAATTTTTAATACAATGGAAATAATATTCCAATGTGTAATGTCAATTAGGATGAGCTTCAAACCCGTAAACTCAGTCCGAATCTAGAACTAGAATCGGTATATGTTAAACTAGTCCGGATATTAGGTATCACTTTAAGCCTACCTAAATGGGTATCAAATATAGTGGGTCCGAGTTTAGTGGATATGGCTAAAATGGATGAAGGAAACTGAACCCGGTAGTTTAAAGACCTCAAATAAAAACTCATCCATACGACTTGGACTCTCATGGGTTGAAATAAAAAAAAAACCTCCTAACGTCGTAGTCTCCTACACCAGGAATCAAAATAATAAAAAAATCGTGGTACCCCCTTAATACAAAAGTACCAACATAACCCTCTGGTTATAAAAGTATGACAAAGAGCCCTTGATTACAAGTTAAAAATACAAAACACCACCTATACAAGTTGAAAGTACCAAAAAATCATGGTTTTCCGATTCTAAAACCCGAAACCCGGTTCCACCTCACCCATTTTGATATTTCTGGTTCTAGACCTACTTTACCCGGTCCCATACCCAGAAACGAACCGCACCCGATTCTTATATACCGCTTTGGTTTCTGGTTCTACTAAATCACGTTTTCCGATTGTAGATCCATTCGGGTCGGGTTTGGACCAGTTTCACCCCTGTCAATAGTATTCTCCAAAGTACTTTTTTTTTCAGAAAAATAAGATACACGTAGAAAATTACGTTTTGTTGTATCGAACATATATATATCTCCACAAAAAAACAAATAATTTATTCGTGTTTTTAAGCTAGTTTTATAAATCACAAAATATTAAGATACACTTTATTATTTATAGTTTTTACAGAATTATAAATGTATTTCAAACAGGATGTCTGCCTAATATTTATTTATCTACAAATACAAACGCCCAAAAAAAACGTGGTGAGACCGAAATGATCCTATATATAAAAGGGTGCACATCTTAAAAAAAGAAAGTGTTATACGACTTTCAAAAATAAGTAAATGATCTAAATGCATTACAGAATTACCCTCAAACATGCTACACATATGTATATATTGTCAGAACAAATGTTAACATGCATTATAAAACAATTAATTTGTTACAGAAGTTGAAAAAAGATGTAATCAAGAAACATAAACATGAAACTTACTAAACGAAATTTGTAGGATTATGAACATATAGAGGCTTGCAGAAGTAATGTCCTAAGACATAAATTGGTCTTTATTCGTGTAATAGTTTATGGACTTCTGAATTTAGGATACAACTATCTATATTTAAATTCTTGCACGAGAACTTAATTTATGACAAATCTAGTGTATATATGCATTCATGGACTTTGTGAAAGAGTGAGAATGTATATGGTGTGCGTTTCATCCAAGAGATCCAAAAATGTCAGATTTTACTTGTTTAAATAAAATCGTTATAAAACTATCAAAATACAGTTTCCTATAACTTCTCAAACCAATCTTATCTGATAAAATAGAAATTAATTTTAAACAAAAATAAAATTAAATTAAAGAGCTGAATTTCGAATTATCTCTTGAGACCCCAAGAGCATCTTTTAAACATTAATATATATTTAAAACAATAGTAATTCAAAGCCCAGAAAACCACTCACTTCAAGCTCTTAGTTCATTGTGATAAAAGTTAGCCCACTTCATTCATTGTTATCTTCATTCATTGTGATAAAAGTTCGAGAACAAACCTTTTAAACATACAAAACTAGCCACTTCATGCTCTTCATGCTAAAGTTTGATAGGACAAGTGGACAACTAACTTTGACAAAAATACACAAACGCCCCAATTCAAAGCCCACAAAACCATATTAGCCCACTTCATGCTCTTAATCCATTATAATAAAATTTAGAGAACAAGCTCTTAATTTTTAAACATACAGCAACATATAAATTATGTATGTATATATAAGCTACATTACATGATGTTACAGGCAGCATTTGTATTTTCATCACTAAAAGCAGCACCAGTCTGGTGTCCAATTAAACCTGAGGATTGGACTGGGTTATAACCCTGGTGGTTATCATAACCGTGTTTGTAGTAGTTGTATGAAGACGCCGATGATGGCTGCCGGGTGTAGAACGTCGCTGAGGGACCTGGGCCAGAATCACCGTTTTGTGGTTGCTGTTGCGCATATTGATTAACGTTGTAGTTACTGCTACGGAGATCAGGGTTGTAGGGTACGTTCCAGATCTCAGCTCTGCGACCAGTCTTTCTCACGATCTTCAACACCTTTTTCTCTTCAGCGTATCCAGTCACTGTTACCTTCTGTAACCCCATGTCTATATCTACGTTCTCAACACCTACAACAAATCGAATGAAACCAAATTCATGTTTCTTTTATTATTTTATTCGTAGAGGAATATTAAAAAGTAGTTGTAAACACGTACCTTTGAGTCTTTGAAGAGCTTTTCGGATCTTGTCCTCACATCCTGGACAATCTACATGTACTCGCATTTCTATGATCTACATGCATGTAAATCAAAAGTTGTTATATAATCGACTTGTAGGATATATATATGACTCCAAGAAAAGTGAATTAATTTAGAGCTTACTGCCATGGTTGATTATGTTATGCTTGATTGATTGATGGCTGATTTTATGTGCAGATCTTATGAGAGGCGTTTTGAGGTTCGATTGATCTCGTACGTATAGATACATACTTGTATTTATTATATATATGAGTGCATATCTACATGTGTCTGGCCCTTGATGTATGGTGTGTGTAGTGTGCTGGTGGGCACCGACTTGTTCCTTGTCTTTCGTTTGCACAAAAGTGCATGAAAAAAGCAGATAGGTAGCTTGAATTAGTGGTGACAATATTATATTTGATTCTTTGGGTTTTATGGATTTTTTTTTCTCGCGTTAAAAAGAAGGGATTGTTGAAAAATGAAATATCAAATTCCAACTTCCGTAAGACTCTTGCATAGGGATGGAAATGGAGCGGGTTTGGGGCGGGGTTGACCATCCCTGTCCCATCCCCGAGTGTCTAACCACGTCCTCATCTCATCCCCATCCCCAACAGACGCAGAGAATCAAATACCCTCCTCTTTGTATTTTGGGCTTTTCCCCAGCCCATCCCTAACTCATCCCCAATCTATCAACATAATAAACTCAACTTACAAAAAAAAAAAACCAAGTTTAATAAGCGATTAAAATGAGATGCCATAATCAGATTTTGTTTACATCAATCATAAAGTTTAACAAACATCAAAACGAAAAGTGATGATTTGGTATACAGATCGTCGAACGAAGTGACGACCGACGAACTCTTGGAATTAGGAACATAATTTGACATACGGACTCTATCTCTGATGGTCTAATATAGATCGATTCATTTTAGTGCACTTAATTCAAATTAAATAAATGATATATATATATATATATATATATATATATATATATATATATATATATATAGTCATCAAAGCGGGGGCAGGACGGGTTGAGGATTGTTATACCCGGTCCCGGCCCATCCCCGCTTTTAGCATAATGGGGATCCCGGCCCCGTACCTGGTAGCCGTTTTGGCAGGGTATACCCTTCCCCGATTGGAACGGGTCAACCGGGTTCCCCACCTGGTCGGATGAAATTTCAATCCCTACTCTTGCAACACCAATTAATTTACTTTCTATAATCTTATTATTGGTTTCCTTTAAAATTATACCATGTTGATTTCACTATTAATTAATATATCATCCATCCGTTCGAGTAAACAAATTGTTAATAAAAAAATCGATATGATTATAAATAATAATTCATTATTTGCATCGCGTATGCCAATCGTACATAGTACGAGATTCGATAGACATTCAAATAAATGATCATACCTCAAATCCACAACCAAACAAAGAACATGATGAAATGTCAAATCAGGCATTCTAAGGATATAAAATCTTAACTATGTACAACTACAAAGCATACGCCAAACAAATAATTAAGGCATATCCGATCTCATAAGGAATGAATTCCTGGGCTAAGACATCATTAATAAGGCAACAGTCATACTGTTTCAGCAAGATTCTTTAGCCTACACTTAGCTAGCATGCAATCCTAATTGCTCATAATACCACATTTATGCTCTGCAATACTAAAAATAACAATGAGGTGTATTGGGGAAACTGCCACTCGAGCGTTGGTCGATTGTACACACTGCTTCTCCGGGGTTTCCTCTTGTAAAAAGTCTTCATTCCTTATTAAGTTCTTAAAAATGTTCAAACCCTCAGTTTGAGTTTGGGATCACCCAAAGGTTCATCAAAATCCCTCAAACCAGGGCTCTATTACCAAACTGTAACACCTCAAATTTTGGACCAAAATTTGTAAATTTAAAAACTTCTAAAGACAGAGTTTTACAACCAGACCGAATACAAATCATTTCAAAACACAAGTGTCATAGTTATCAGAGTACGAAAGACCATGTCCCAATAATAAATTCCCAGTACGTGTGTACAATCAGATCTTCGTTGTCACATCCCCAAACCAGGATGACGAAACGTCTGGGGGTGGATGACTTCATTAACAGTATCACAACATAATGTACAATAGTGATCAAAAGAAACATAACCATCATAAATATAATTGAAAATGTTTCATTCTTTCCAAGTGTTGTATGTTTCAAAACCAATTACATTATGATGACAAAATGAATAGTACGACGTCGTAGCGTCCCATCCTCAAAAGGCTTGTGACTACCTGTTTAACGGTTTCCTAAGAATACAAGTAGTTTTGAAAAGTGTCAACAATTAAGTTGGTGAGTTCATAAGAGTTTTGTATGTGAAAAATCTGTAATTCTTTCCTTGTAAAATGATAGTGTTTGTTCCCAGAAAATCCAATATTTCCTTAAAAATGAGTTGTAGTCTTGAAAACCCTAAGACCGAAAATGTATAAGTATTTCTGTACTTAAAATAGTATTACGTAATTTTATTCTTATATAAAACCATTTGAACGCATGTTACCTCGTAAACTAAATGTATCGTTGATTTCCCAGGTGAGTTATTACAACCATGCTAAAACCGAAGTTGGCCTGCTACGACGTTCTTCAGGCGTCGGAATGTTAGACATGTGTCACCCCAGACCTGCCGGTCTAGTTGTAGCTAGCAGCTTCGGTGCGGGATTGTCAGTCTCGTATAGATCTATACACAAGGATCACGCTCTCTTACCGAGATTTTGGTTATAATTCAGGACTTTAGTGTGTACTCTAGAAGTTACGATGAAGACTTTGTCTCACATAATTGTTTCAACATGTTTACGTTTTGTTGTAATGAAAACCCTTGCATGTGTAATTATCACTTATCCATGGTATTAATATAGTGTATAATAATTATATACTTTTATATAATTATTCGTCTTGTCCCAAAATGTTATAATATTGTTAATGACCTATAAACTACACCTATTATAGTTTATTATAAATATTTCGTTTTACCTATATATATATATATATATATATATATATATATATATATATATATATATATATATATATATATATATGTAGGTTAACATGTTTAGATGTTCATAAATAACATATATTATACATCTAACATAAATATATGAGCATTTAGTATGATAAAGTCAGTTTTCTAGTTTTTGACTTTTTACATCACCAAACGGTAATATTGAATTATAAACTTTGTAAATTTTATTTTTACATTTTTGTGACGTTTAAGTCAAGTTAACCTTATTTGTTTAAAAAAACATATTTTATGTCAAATATCACAAAAATGGTACCATAACCTGGTTATGACCATTTTTGTTAGAAAACCCTAATTTTTTTTTACATAAAATGATAGATTTTTAGGTTTTTTTTTGTAAAACCAAATCCTTGGTATATATAACAAGTATCGTAACATATGTCCAAAATAACCTATTTTGATTTATATCCCACAAAAATGGTGTAATAACTTGGTTATAATCATTTTTGTTAGAAAAGTCATATTATGTTCATAAAAACCATAGGTTTATTTTATTTTTTTTTTATTTTTTATAGTTTTGTTTTTATGACTTTTTCATAAGAACATATAACATGCTTATACTCATTTTTCATAGATTTGTATTTTAAACAACATACCACACAAATATTCATAATACTAGCTAATAACATTATTTCATGTAGATAAAATTTTTACACAACATGAAAGTAAAGCATGCGTAACAACTTGTACATTTATACAAGTTTACTTGTATTCTCCCCCTAAAACTTGGATAAAGATGAAAATGAGGGGTATGAACTCACCTTGAGTGTGTTTCTTAGTAGATAAAGAGGTGAAGATGAAAGATTTCAAGTTAAGAACACTTGTGGAACACTTGAAGATTGAAAGATCATCTGGATATTAATACATATTAATGTGTGTAATTGTAACAAAACTAGTATATATATATATATATATATATATATATATATATATATATATATGTATAGAATCACTAGATTAGTAAGGGAAAACTTACCAAAAGATCAAGAACCAACTTATGAAAATTAGTCTTGAGAGAAAGAGAGCTTGTTCTTGAGGAAGGAGATGAAACAAAAAAAATGAAGAAGATGGGATTGGGAGGGGGGGGGGTATGGGGGCATGGAAAGGACTTCTTGAATTTAATATTAAAGTATGTCTCCTTTACTTAAATAATAATATTTTTATAAAAGGGTAATAATCATATAAGACAAATGTGGTCTTTAGTTTATTTGTATAAAAAAAATAGGCAATTTTTATAAGAGTTTGTGATTTTTATAAAAAGTGTGGTAAAGATAATGTATAATTACTTAATTTGAATCATATAAAGTCAAATTATTATAATATCATTATCATCAAAAGTAATAACACATTACACAAAATTTATGATGATTCCTAATTCTTTTCATTAACGTTTGAGTGTTTAAGCCGGGTAAAGAATTTTTCGCATTTGGTGACGAATTCACCAACAATTTGAATATGTAACCTTAGTTATGAATTTGTCATGTAGTATAAGGTTTATGAACTCAACTACATTTTGTTATGAATATTATTTACACCTAAATAATATATAATTGAATTATTGAATTTTTACATTACTAACCCTAATTAGGGTTTATATTCAATAATTAGTAAAAAAGAGGTACTTTGTATTATAAATTGTCAATAGTACATTAGAAATATTTGGGAATATCACATTTCTCCTAAAATTCTAATACGAGTTGAGTTGACCTGATTGACTTTTGTTGACTTTGTTTGACCAAAATTAACGGTTGTCACATCATCTCTCTGTTAGAAGGAATTTCGTCCTGAAATTAGCACTCCGAGTGGGTTCTCAAGAGTTAGGGAAAAGATGTGGGTAATTCTGTTTCATTTGGTCATCACATTCCTAGGTAAATTCAGGTCCTCGCTTGGCGTTCCAATGGACCTTTACTATTGGTATGCGGCTTTGCTTCGTTCTTTTGACTTCCCTGTCCATGATTTCCACAGGTTCCTCGACGAAGTGGAGACTCTCGCTTACTTCGATTTCATCAAATGGAATGATGGGAGTCTCCTCGGACAGACATTTCTTCAAGTTGGACAATGGAAAGTGGGGTGCACATTGCTGAGTTCTTGCGGTAGCCGATGTCTGTAAGCTACCAGGCCAATCCTGGCAAGGATCTCGAATGGCCCTATATACCTTGGATTTAGTTTCC